CGGAAGGCCTGGCACAATATGGTTCATGGGGTCACGAAGAGTCGGACACGACTTAACGACTAAACAACAACAACAACTATAGATTAAATTATATACTAAATACATATGGATGACATATTAAACTGACAATGTATTTAGTAGTGTAGGAATGATACTAATTATATCTGCTCCTTGAAGCTGTTGTAGGTGATATTATCTGTAGCTGAGGAATGTTTCAGCTGTAAGAATACAGTCTGTAAATACATTGCAGTGTGAGCATACCACAGGGCAGCAAGGTTTTGCAGAGCTATTTGTAACTACTGTTGAATGTGTATGTTTCTTACAGGCTGAGTTCACACATTGATCTATGCCATAGTGTTATTTGTTTCATTCTGACATAGTGCCTCATGCAAACTTATCATTATAATGGTTTATAGTTGAACATATTATATGAGCCTATCCAATTAAAGTGTATTCAGTTGAACAAACCACAGCTTAATACAATGTGCAAACCAAGTCATAATTCTGCTATGTGTTTTTCAATCTAGTTTGGTAGTACAGCTGGCCCGTGATCTTCAGACGGATTTTTATCCACATTTTCAAGATTTTTTTCTCTGCATTACAAGTCTGTTAGATACTCAGGACACAGAATTGCTAGAATGGGCCTTTACATCACTTTCTTACCTTTACAAATACTTATGGAGACTAATGGTGAAGGACATGTCCAATATTTACGGGTAAGCCTTTGATCAAAAATACTACAGAGAATTTTAGTACACAGGTCTTATTAACTCCCATCATTTGGACCTAAATTCATCCTACTGGCCATGCAAATAAACCTAACCCTGGAAATATCAATAGTAATATACATGTTAGTCTACCCTAACCTTAAAACGTACCCTAATAATTATTGTAACATTAATTTTAGCCGAAGTCCTCAGTGAACCAGAACCCTCACTTCACCATTTCCCAATCCTCTGAATCTAGCCCTAGAAGAAAATCTCAATCATAATATACATCAGCGTCTATCACTAACCTTAAACATGTGGCCTAATTCTTATGACATTAATTTTAGCCAAAGTCCTGAATGGACCAGAAGCTTTCACCATATCCAAAAGCAAATACTTACCTTAAACATGATTCCATAAGAAAATCTTTGCCATAACATTTATTTATTGATTAGACTTATATGCCTCCTTTATTTTGAACAACTCAAGATTGTGTACATAATGCCCCCCTCCTCCTATTTTCTCCATAACAACAACCCTGTGAGATGCATTTTGCTGAGAGAGTGCCTGGTCCAGAGTCATTTACCCAGTTCTGGTACATTGTAGATTTTATTTAAAATACCTTGGCGTGAATATTTTAACTGTTTTAGACTACAGAACCTTCAAACATTTATTTAAAGATCTATTGCTCCTCTTGCGTTTTAATATCCATAGTAGTTTAATACCTTGTGTGCATGATATTAAGCTGTAATAAATGTTCAGAATAATGAATGAATAACTAATTCCTGTTCTGTTATATTTATGTGTGTGTGTGTGTGTGTGTGTGTGTGTGTGTGTAAGGAGCTGGTGGAAATATATCAGCAGGAATGGATTTTTCTTTCATCTTCTGACCACTCCACCCCTGTGCTTTCATGGAAGCCCTTGCAGTTTGTGTCACCAGTCTGTTCCCTACCCAAGTGAAGTGTCGTCATCTTTTCGCACTCCTATGAGCTCCCTTGCTTTTGTGCATGTGTTCTGTTTATCCATATGCACGTATGGCCCTCAGATCAAAAAATAAGTCCAGTCCTGAATTAGATGGTTGATTCTGCACAATGTTACTGGAAGAATGAATTGACCTGGCTGGTTTTTATTCTTTTTTTGGTACATGCAAATATTGTATTTACAGATTGTACAGTACCCTTCTGGCTCATCGCAAACAGCACATCAGGAACTTCGCAGCAGAAAGCTTTACCTTCCTGATGAGGAAGGTAGGTGTCGTGATGGACAGGGGGAGTGGTGCCGGAAAGAATGAAAGGGAAAGGGATTGTCTGTTCCTAGAGACCAATTGGCTGTTGTCCTCAGGTCAATGGGAAGAGTGGCCAGGCATCCCTTTGGGGCTGACACCCATTTCTGTTTCATGTACCCTACCATTGAATGATAAGTTCTTTCTTCTTAATGAATAATACATTTTAGAAAATATTTCTAATCCTGCTTTAGTCAAGAATTCATTAGGTAGCTCTGTAGTTGCCACAGTTCCCAAGTTATAATATAGAAGTCACAGCGTTATAAGAGTAGCTTTTTTCTCCCAATACAGATATATGTTATAGTAATACTTGCAACCGGCAAGCATTAATATATCCAGTTTACATATTAGAGCTGGGAGAGGGAGATCTATATCTGAGCCTGGTGTGTTCCTGCCTGCACTTTGATTTGAACCAAGGATTTCTAACTCTTGAATGATCTTCATGATCTCAGAATCTTTCAGTTTTTTCCTATGAAATATTTAATGGGAAGTGTGGCGAACTACAGGCATTGCTGCGTGTTAATTCAAGATCCTTGTCTCAGCTTAGTCAACCAGCATAACTAGTTTTATTTCAGTTTGTGATGTGCAAGTTTGGCTTGCGCTCACATATCTGAGCTTGATAGCAAGAATCAGTAGGAATGATCTTTAATTATCATTACAGCAATTACAACTATAGGTGATCTTAGGGCAGCTTAGAGCTGTATTACACAACAGCAGAAAGTCGGGGGGAGGGGGCAGGAAAGAACACATAACATTTCTTGGTAGTGTTGAACATTTTTCCTGAAGAACACAGATGGATATTTGGAAAATCTGATGACCATGAAATCACCAGACAAGCTTTTCTATTATTTCCCCCCTCTTCTCTATAAATATAAAGAGCACCCTAACTTAACTCTTGCCAAGATACAATTTAAGCCTAAGAATATTTTCAGCTGGACAGTGAACAACTTTGTGAACTGTTCATATTTTGTTCCTGCAAACCATTATGGATTCTTCCTCTAGTCAGATGTTTAATTATTTGGGTGCTGCTAATGTGATTTGAATTGACAACAAGCGAGATCAGCAAACTTTCCCGCTAACACATTTCTGTAGCATGGTTGCCATCAGTGCCAACAAGGGCAGCCTTATGTAAACTCTGGCTGAACAACAGGCCACTTAGCTTCCCTTCTCTTTCCAGCAGGAATTTACACTGCAGGGGAAACATATAAATCGGTTGCTCAGCTTGAGCTACCTTTTAGGCTATTGAAATCCAAGATTGGACTCAATTCCTGAAAGTAAAGGATACCTAATAAAACAACTAGTGAAGTAATTAGAAATAAAATATTTATTATATTAGTATGTTGATGTCATGAATCAACTCATGGTGGTTTACAGTGTAAATGAAACCAGATATACAGTAAAATCCAGTTAAAATATAAAATCAGTAAAATAACAAGCAATAATATTAATAGGACAGTGAAATGATAGTAATAGTAAACATAGTGTCAGTCTTAGTTTACATGGCAACAAATTATAACTTGAAGGCTCTCCAGAATAGTAATACAGTAGTGATAGGCTATGGCTCCTGCTTTTTCCAATTAAGTTTATGTAAATTGGAATACCAGTACAGTGTTGGGAGTTTCAGATGGAGAATTGAGAGGACTGTTGGGAATTAACTGAATTTTCAGTGCAATAGTGGAAAGGTATATTTTCATTCTCCAATTTTGTCTGACAGGTTTCTGACAAAAATGCCCTTTTAAACCTTATGTTCCTTGATCTGGGAGAGCATCCAGAGAAAGTGGAAGGCGTGGGACAATTAATTTTCGAGATGTGCAAGGGGGTTAGAAACATGTTCCATTCTTGTGCAGAAAAGGTAAACAATTCTTGGTGCATGAAACAAATGTAACATAATTTATAGAAAGCCTGATTTTCTATATTTGGGTTAACTTAGTTTCAGATCTTTTACTTTAAAACTGTTGTTTACCAGTTTACCTTATGTGACCACCTTTTAAGAATGTTCTTGCTTATTATTTGGTCAATGAAGAGCCTGAGAGGAAGCGCCAAGGGTGGAAATCTGTTTTGGAAAGTTTTAAAAATATATATTTTAGTAAAAATGTATATATCAGAAGTTAGCATATCTGTTTCATATTTTTTTAAAAAGAGAAAATTATACCGCTGTAATTTGGTGATACGACAACAGATTTCAGCAGTGTTCTTGGATGGCCATTGTAGATTGCTCACCTCTCCCATAAACTAAAAGGAGACATTTGATCCAACTTTTCATTATTATCCTTTGATTAGTTGAAATACTAAATTGGGCAATATTAGGGATGGTTGCTATGAAAGGAATAATTATATCTCTAACTTTTTGTTGCACACTGCTGTACTCTGTAATGATCAGCTTACATAAAATAACACATTACTGAGGTGGTTATTGGCAATAACTGTTTAAAAGTTTTATTTGGGAAGTAGCCTTCCTGTTCAGATATATGAGATTCTTTCTGCAGGCCATACTGTTGGTTTTGAAGAAGATGGGGCCAGTTACAGAAACAGAGGTTATACTCCCTTGGGTTTCTGTTGGAGAAGTTTGCAAACATATGGCACAATCAGCTGCTAGATACATCTACAGGGAACATTTTGATGTCTTTTTCAGATGTTTGCAGGTGAGTTGAATGTAATTGGAATACAAAAAGAAATCTTAACTCTCAGCCCAATATTAGTGGTGAGATTACTTTATGAAAACTTATGAGAAGTATTTTATATTGAGGTAGCAAGGATCTAGTATTATTTTAATGTTTGTATTCCAGCAGAGGTAACAATGGAGTAGTCTACATCAGCCATCAAAATGGTTGTCCTGCCTGTGACATATGAGAGTAGTTGTTCCAATCATTGTAAGTTTATGGTTGGGGAAAGCTGTTCTTCATAACTGATGAAAAAATACAGCAGATGTAATCACAAACAACTATGTTGGTATATACTGTTTACAGACACATCTAAAAGTTGTGTGTAAATCATTTTTTGTCCAAGATTGCTTTCACATCAGCCTCATTCAGGTGTTCTAAAGCAGTGCTGTAGGAGTAGCAGGGAAGAGCCCGTCCCATCTATAATGTTGCTCTGTTGACATCTGTGAAGAGCTGGTCTCCATAAATACAGTGCAATTAACCTTTTTGGGTAGAGTGGCACACATGATGGCTTATCCATGAGTTGAAATCCTAATAGTTCAGCTTTGGGATCATATGGAAGAACCCTACAGGCAAACAAAATTGCTGTACTCACAGAGACTGGTTTTTTAATGGTATCATATGTCTGTGTGGAAGCCAGAGGCTTCTCACTGCTATAGTCTCTGAATAAGGAAGAAAACCAAAACATAAAGTTACAAACACTGAACCTCTTTGACCTTAATGAATCTTCTGTCTTGTTTTTAATTAATCTGAACTTTGAATACATTCTTGTCAAAAAAAATCAGGAATCAGTGTTTCAGTTGCAAGAAAAGATAACCAAGGACAACTGTTGTGAAGCTTCTGAACAAATGGAAAGATTATTGCAGGTGTACTTGACTATAGCAGAGTATGCACGTGGCTCAAAAATTTCACAATCTGAAGAAGTTTGTAAGGTGGGTCAAACTTGTTTTTATTGGGGCAGGTCATGTGAGTCAGATAGGAGGAAAGATCAGAAGCCTTCCTCAATTTGATGCCCGCTGGAGAAGCCGAAATGGCAATCCTGGGAATTCTAGTTGTTGTAGTCCAAATACATTTGACTGGCACCAGGTTTGGGAAGCCAGGGATGCAACATGATTTAACTGTTTTATAGATTGTGTCAAAACAATATATCTAATGATATGAGACATTATGCTGAAGAATAAAGTTTATTAACCATCTTATACAATCTGGAAAAGACTCTGCAGTCCTAGATAGATTCCCTTTTGTTATCATCACACTGACTCCCTTGTTATACTGTTGTGCCACATTGGCAACATTGTGCCAGAAGGAAGAAACAGTTGAGAGGAACATGGCATTAGAAAGGCTGAGAGATAGGCATAGCTCACAGTGTGGTAGAACACAGAATACAGTGTCAGATGAATCAACGTTTTCAGGTAAACAAATGTAATGGTATATGGGAAAAACCGTGGGAGATTAGGCCAAGAGATGCTGCCAAGGGAACAGTCAGATAAGAGGCAGCATAGCCCGCAGCTGGATAATGGGCTCAGAAGGGATCCTCCCTAGTTGGGTTGTAAAGGAGATGGCAGGAGAATCGTACTTTCAGACTTGCAAAATTCTGTTAATGTAGCTTTACAATAAAGTAGAATTAGCTTATCTGGTCTTGTTTCCTGTTTGGTCTACCTAGTAAGGCTGACACCAATCTTGCAAGTATGAAAGTACAATTCTCCCCCCATCCCATCTCTTTTACAGCCCATGAAGTCTAAAACAAAAATGTTTTAGACTTCATGGCTTCAGAAAGAAATTTTAAAAGGCCCACATTTTGGGGAAAAAACAAAAACAGAGTCTTCCTGCTGAAATTCTTCATATAATACTGGAATGAATTTGCCATTAGAACAAAGGATTTAATTGTAAGAAATGTAGGCAACATTCCAAACTCCCATAATGTATTTCTAAATCTTGCTGGATTATCCTGTCTGCAACTGAATTGTCTTTTTTTAACTTGAAACTTTTTAAACTTCCATTTTCAGCCCACCTGCCAAAAACTTTCTGAGGAAAGATGTTTTATAGACACCTTTTGTTATACAGAATATTTTTTTTTTATGTTTTCACATTGTCAGCATTCTTTCTGTGTACTTCTGTATATATGAAATAATGAGGGAAGCAACAATATTGAATTGAAGCATATTTTTGTATATTTCGTTTTGCCTGAATTTCTTAGAATTTTGAAAATCATTCTTCATTCTTCTATTCCAGACATTAACAAAAATAATAGATACATCTGATCTCACAGTGCCTTGTTGTGATACCCTGCTTAAAGTTATTTCTATTTTGCTTCTTGATGAGAATGTCTTATTGCCTGATTCTTTGGTGAAAGAAACTGTTGAAAAGGTAATATGACACTAAGTTAGATTATGATGAAAATTTCAAACACTTTGGTAAAACACCTAATTAACATATGACCTTTGTAATGTTTGCTTTGTATTTTTCTGGAAGAAGGAATGGACCTCCATATTTCTTATAGCATATGTAAGTAGATAGGCATAAATGACAGGTCTAATCTGTCCTCAGTCAGTGCAGTGGAAAAAATATTGGGGTAGATGAAATAATCAAGTTTGATATAACAATAGGAAGTGTTTTGTCTTAAGACAAACAAGGGTATGGCCAAATATTAAATCTGTGTTTCATGGCTTAGGAGAATTATTCCTCTAACTAAATGTTTTTACTTTTTACTTTTTTAATTTAATTTTTAATTTTTTTAATTTAAATTTTAAATTTGTAAATGTTTTAAATTTACTCAGCTAAACGTTTTAGCTTTCTCTCTTAAGATGGGCTTCTCAATCAGCAGTGCACATATATGTAAAGGGAGGGTAAGAGCTGATGATAGAGCATATTTTTTGCATGTTGAGATGTAAGATTTGTTTCAGCCATTTCTAGTTAATATACTTTCATTCTTTGCATGATCTGTGATGATGCTTGTGTGTATGAACACAGTTAATACTGGAAAGATGCCACAAGATGAATCAATGTTAACTTTTGTTTACTTGATTATCTTTGGGTAAACAATGAAATTGTGCAGTTTTTCAGAGTCCTCTGAAAAAATCATATTGAATGTGGATCAGCTCTTTGTTTTTCTTTTTAATAGGTCTTCAGAGGTGGATTTGAATGGTGTTCTGTTTTAGATTTTTCTAAAGCTATGTTTCTAATGAAACAGTTTGAAAAGGTAGGCAAACTTTTCTACAACTTTTCATCTATGGGGAAGCAATCTGTGGCCCTATATACGTTGATGAGTTTCAGTTCCAAGCAGTCATCTCCAACACGGTCAATGGTGAGAAATGCAGAAAGTTGTAATTCAGTCACAGGTTGTCCACCCATGTTATAAGCAATGTGGGAGTTATGTGGAAAGAAGTTCAAGAAATGCCTCTAGGGTTTACAGTTTGCAAAATCCAACTGCCATTGGCTAAGAGGATACAGTGCCTAGGGTTGTATTGATTTGATCTAAGATTGCCTTACAGTTATTCTAGCCTTTGTGTTTCAGTTAATAATAAAAACAAAAGAACAAGGCAAATTCATTTGTGCCAGATCTGAAATCTCAGAAGAATATCCTGGGCATGAAACCTGCATAGTGCATAACTCCCAAATTGATAGTCGCTAGATTCCTGAAAATCTCATTTGGAGATATTGCATGAACTTAACTATAGCATGTTTTGTTCTATGCAGTGAATGTAAACACTCACGGAAGAGAGTAATAAGAGGACTTCAGTGCCTATGCCACGTCATTATCGCAGTAATCCCTGGACTATTTCATAAAACATCCACTGTTATCTCACAGTGCAGATAGGGCTGAGGTGCTTACCAAGATAGCATGTGGAGCATATAGGTTAATGGGAGATGAATTGCAGAATTCCCACGGCCAGCTTACATAGTCTTAGCTGCTGTTAGAGTGAACAGTATTTTTTAACATTCAGTAGCATGAATAATAAGCACCCTCTAAATCTTAGGAAGTTTAGTAGGTTTTCTCAGGTCTACAGCTTAAGCCTTGCTTCTGTTGCTTTTGAGGAGAGGACATCGTTTCATTGGGTAGAAAAGTTCAGATGAACATTTATCACAGAGACAATACAATATGGGAACAGCAGTAGAAGAGGTGTTATGAAAGGGGAGAGTTGGAGGAGGAGTATGAAATAGGGAACCTATGGAGATTTGCATTTACAGCGGAACCTCGGTTTACGAACTTAATTCGTTCTGTGACTCTGGTCGCACCCCGAATTGGTCGCATCCCGAAGGAAATTTCACCATAAGGTTCAATGTAATTACTGTTACATTGTAACAGGACAGGGAGGCGGCTATTGCTTGGAGAGAGAGTCCCCCTCCCGCGGACCATGTGTCAGGGGTGGAAAAATGGCCGGGGATGGACCACATGTCAGGGGCGGAAAATGGCCACAGACCATGTGTCAGGGGCAGAAAGATGGCCGCGGACCACGTGTCACAGGCGGGAAAATGGCCGCGGACCTCGTGTCAGGAGCAGAAATTGGCCGCGCACCACGTGTCAGGCGGAAAAATGGCCGCGGACCACGTGTCAGGGGCGGAAAAATGGCCGCAGACCACGTGTCAGGGGCAGAAAATGGCCGCGCACCACGTGTCAGGCGGAAAAATGGCCGCGGACCACGTGTCAGGGGCGGAAAAATGGCCGCAGACCACGTGTCAGGGGCAGAAAATGGCCG